GCGGTTGCGGTTGCGGTTGCGCGCTTTTTTTTCCACCCCCGGGGGAGGGGGGTGGGGCGCTTTGAAATGTGTCGCACGGTTTTGCGGTTTTGCGGTTGCGCGCTCACGCGGGCGCTTGAAATGTTGTCGCCCGAGTTGCGGTTGCGGTTGCGGTTGCGCGCTCCCTGCGAGCGCGTTGAATGTTTTCGATTCGCCAATGCCGTTGCGGGTTTTTGGCCGCTCCCGCGGGGCTTTGAAATGTGTCGCCGGTGTGCGGTTGCGGTTGGGCGCTCTCCCGCGGGCGCTTTGAAATGTGTCGCACCCAGGCGAGTTTGCGGGTGCGCCCTCCCGCGGGCGCTTTGAAATGTGTCGCCCGGTTGCGGTTGCGGTTGCGCCCTCCCGCGGGCGGGTTGAAATGTGTCGCCCGGTTGCGGTTGCGGTTGCGGTTGCGCCCTCCCGCGGGCGGGGTGGGCGGGGTGAAATGTGTCGCCCGGTTGCGGTTGCGGTTGCGCCCGCGGGCGCTTTGAAATGTGTCGCCCGGTTGCTGTTGCGGTTGCGGTTGCGCCCTCCCGCGGGCGGGTTGCGGTTGCGGTTGCGGTTGCGCGCCGCGCGGGCGCTTTGAAATGTGTCGCCCGGTTGCGGTTGCGGTTGCGCGCTCCCGCGGGCGTTTTGAAATGTGTCGCCCGGTTGCGGTTGCGGTTGCGCGCTCCCGCGGGCGCTTTGAAATGTGTCGCCGGGTTGCGGTTGCGGTTGCGGTTGCGCGCTCCCGCGGGCGCTTTGAAATGTGTCGCCCGGTTGCGGTTGCGGTTGCGCGCCCGCGGGCGCTTTGAAATATGTCGCCCGGTTGCGGTTGCGGTTGCGGTTGCGCGCTCCCGCGGGCGCTTTGAAATGTGTCGCCGGTTGTTGCGGTTGCGCTCCCGCGGGCGCTTTGAAATGTGTCGCCCGGTTGCGGTTGCGGTTGCGGTTGCGCGCTCCCGCGGGCGCTTTGAAATGTGTCGCCCGGTTGCGGTTGCGGTTGCGCGCCCGCGGGCGCTTTGAAATGTGTCGCCCGGTTGCGGTTGCGGTTGCGGTTGCGCGCTCCCGCGGGCGCTTTGAAATGTGTCGCCGGTTGCGGTTGCGGTTGCGCGCCCGCGGGCGCTTTGAAATGTGTCGCCCGGTTGCGGTTGCGGTTGCGGTTGCGCGCTCCCGCGGGCGCTTTGAAATGTGTCGCCCGGTTGCGGTTGCGGTTGCGCGCTCCCGCGGGCGCTTTGACATGTGTCGCCCGGTTGCGGTTGCGGTTGCGGTTGCGCGCTCCCGCGGGCGCTTTGAAATGCGTCGCCCGGTTGGGTTGCGGTTGCCGCCGCCGGGTTGCGCTCCCGCGGGCGGTTTGAAATGTGTCTCCCGAGCTGTCCCCTGACGTTCAGTCAGTCAGTCATCAGTCAGCCGGCGGGCACGGAATTTCACCCGGCTCCGCTGGGAATCATCGGTTGCAAAGAAAGCACCTAACAATCAATGCTCTGACCTTGGAATCTAACATGGGCTCGCGGGACGAACATAAACCAGCGGAGCAGAACACAGATCTTCGGAATCATTGGGGGTTGGGATGGTCGCGCGCCTTGCCCTGGGCGCCGCGGACATTCGCAAATCATTGCCGCCACCAGACGACGCGCAGAAACGGTCAGGTACATCTACTATAGACCTGCCAGCACCTGCGACCAGATCTGGAGGCCAAGCCAATGAGGACCTCCCCCCCGCCTCCGAAACGAGGAAGACCCCCCACTCCTTCCGCACATGTTCGAACGCCCCGCGCGGATCATGTAAAGTAAGCGATCGCATCAATCACTACGTTACCGCATTACTGCACTGATGGCAGGCAAAAGAGCCATCACCTTCCCTCCTTTCCTACCTCGAACGTTCCCCGTCTCGGAGAGGGGAGTTGCTTTTCTTGTTCGCATGCTCCCCTGGGGGGGGCCGAGGGGGAACCACCCTACCTCCGCCTAACACCCTTGAAAACCTCCCTCAAAGAAAAAAGAAAATTCCGGAGAGGGGAAAACACCCACCCCTAAGCCCTCTAAGAACTTCCGCTACCCTCCAACCCCCCCTACCGGGTCCTCCGGGAGGGAAGCTCTTCCAGACCCCCCACCCCCACCCCCTGAGAGGGGCGGGGTCTGGGGGAACAAAACCTTAACCCCTCTATAACCTCCCTGAAAAAACCCTGAGAAGGGGGGTCTGGGGGAAAGTCCCCCTCACCGCCCCGAGCTCATTCAAGAATCTCGAGGGGGGGGGTTTGGGGGGGAACTTTCCCCAAACCCCGCTAACCCCTCCAGAAACCCTGCCTGAGAGGGGGCGTCTGGGAGGATCCCCTCCAACCCCCCAACCGGGCCGGAAGCCCCCCTACCCGCACCAGCCCAGCACTATTCCTTTAGGGGGAATCCCGAGGCAACCAGAATACGGCCAGGAGGCCTCCAGAAGGCCTTAAGAAAGCCTGAAGCAACTTTTGCGAGGCCCCCAGAGGCTCTCCAAGGAGGAGCCTCCGCAAAAAAGAGCTGCGGAGGATGGGGAGAATGCGCAGGGTATGGCGAAAATGAAGAAAAAGAAGCATGGAGGAAGGACAACGAAAAACATTATTATAGCGGCGATGCCGGAAAAGGCAACAAGAAATTATCGCTAAATTGTCGGCTTGACCTTCCTGCTATTCCGCCTGCACACCAAACTTTCAGGACCAAGGTGCATGGCGCGAAGCGCCAATGCAGTCCTGTATATATATGTATATATATATATATATATATTATATATATATAGATATATATATATATAACCTCCTGAGGCGGGGAGGTCCAGGACGAAGGCCCCCCCAACCATTCCCACCATCCCCCGCGGGACTAGAGGGGATGCGGGGGAAAAGCTTTCCCAACCCTGCCCAACCCATCCAGAAACCTCCCCTGGGGAGGGGTCCGCGGGGAAAACCCGTCTAAATCGCCCCCGCCCTCACAAAAACCTACTTAAAGGGGGGGTCCCGGGGGAACCCCATCAAATCCTAGGGGGGGGTCCGAGTAGAAAACATCTTGACGTTCCTAAAGTTTTGACCATTCCACTAAACGCGCGACATCCTTCCCCCGGTGTAATCCTACAACATGGGGTCCAGCAGCGGCAGAGAAGGTTTTGGCCCGCACCCAACTTAACTTTGATGTTACATGCTAATTACTGTGTGAAGACTTACCCCTCTATCTGCTTCACACCGGAAAACGCACTCGCCGTCGGGGGTGAAACCACTCCGCCTGGTTTTGCTGCGTGATAACGTATTCTACGCCCTCTGAAACTCACTCTGCGACGCTTTATCACGATGTCGGGCGGCTTCTGCGCTCGGGGGCACTTCGCCTCGACGCAACGTCGCCTGAGGATGGGCTCGCGCCGCGTACCTCGATTCACATGCGCACTGTGGCAGAAGTATCACACACATTTGTAACGGATTAGTTTATACATGACATGTGTATACATACATGCTACATGCGTGTGTACACCTACTTGTATACTCATCCATGCACTGGTCAATGTGCATTCATGTGCTCGTGTGTAATGTATAAATGCATAAATGCGCACACGTACACATATATGCCACCTGCATGTGCACTTCACAGGACAAACATGCATAGCGCGAAGCGCAAATACAATATCGTACGTGTACATATGTATATATATAGAGAGAACAAACAAAATAAAGAGAGTCAGAGAGAGAGAGAGAGAGAAAGAGGAGAGACACACACACAACGGATAGAGACACATGATTATCTTCCGCCTTTTGTGTTTTGGATCCCCTCTCATCTATCTTCTCTGCCCATCCATGAGAAGAGAGAACATAAGGATCGATTGAACATGTGAGACATCAGCACAAGCAGGAAGTAATACCTTCAAGGCTGCACAGAGATTCGATTCAGGTGGAGAAGACAGGAGGAAAAATCATACATATGGAGTGTACTGAAGGGGAGACCTCTTCACAATGAGGGGCATCCGAGGACGATGGGATAATTAGGAGATGATGGGGAGGCCGACGAGGAGGAGGCAGAGCCGGAAACGAAAGCACACACATATATATATATATGTATATATATAATACACCCGTATGTAGAGCGAATGTCTTATATATGTGTATATATAGATTTATACGTATGTGTACACGTATCTGTCTATGGGTATGTCTATGTATACCTGCGCTCCGCGCAGGATTTCTTGGCTCGGCGCCGGAACCCCCTCCCTGCCCTGGCGCGCAGAGCGCGCCCGAGCGGCGGCGCCCGCGGCGCCACCCAGAGGGGGGCCCCAAGGCCAGCGCCGACCCGGGAAGCCCGCGCGGAGCTCTCCGCGAGCCTGTGCTCGTGCAGTTCTCCCTGACCTCCTCCTCCTCCTCCTCCTCCTCTTCTCCCTGACCTCCTCGCGCTGTGAAGAAAACACGACGGGAGGTTTTTCACTGTTTTCGGGTCTCCGGGGGCCCTCGCCGGGCCTCGGGGCCGTCGAAAAACGGCTCCTGACGAAAAGCCGGTCACGGGGAGGGGGTCCAGACCTCTGGGGGTCGACGTCGTGAAAAACACCCAACGTCGGGGGTCTGGGCTCCTTCGAGGGCGAAGCGAGGAGGAAGCCAAAGGGAAATGCGAGGCACAGGAGGCGGAGGGAGGACCAGAACAAGGGGAGGCTGAGTGGAGGCCGCGGAACAGGACGAGCGCGCTCCGCTACTCGCAAGTGGCCCAGATCCGCCGCGGGAGCTCTACGAGAAGTAACGTCGACGCAGACATGTGTTTATTCGGACGTTTGCGAGTAGACACTTTGCGAGTATACGTCGTTCATTCCTAGTCGTGCTCATTTCTGATTGTGCTCGTTTCTAACTGTTCCTGGCCCCCTAGTAGCCAGGAAGAGGTCCAGGATAGAACAGTTAGAAATGAAAGGCTCCTGGCCCCCCAAAAAATCAAAGAACTTTCGAAGAATTAGAAACGAACAACGTGTAGACACTTTGCGAGTGGTGGAGCGCGCTCGGTGAGGGACGGCTCGCTCTCCTTCAGGCTCGCCTCGCTGAGGCCGAAGTTGAAGTGGTCCGCTAGGTTGGCCCCCGGCATCCTGGAGGCGCCGGGAGGGTGGGAGGGAGGCGAAGAGGAGCGGGGGGGGCCTTTCCCCCATGCGCCCTGGCGTTGCGAGAAGAATCGAGTGCAGAAAATCCACCCTTCTAATGATCACCCCGACACGCGAAGCCGTTCAGCAAACTCACCCAAAGAGGAAATCGAACAAGGCAGGGCTGTTCGGTAAACGCCCAAGGTCGTTTAGCAAACGCCAACTATCGGGTCCGGGTGTTTTTTTCCTCCCTTGAAAGGAAGATGCTGGACAATGTTTCGCAATGTTCGGCTTCTGGGGGCCCTCATTAAGCCTCGGGGCCGTCCGAAGAAGACTCAGGATGAATAGCTGGTACTCGGGAAGGAGTCCAGACCTGTGGGGGTCCACTTTATCAAAAAAAATTGACGTTGGGGGTCTGGGGCCCCTCGTCCGAGGACTGCCTGGGATAAGGAGACGGTTCCTGGAAGGGGTACAGAGCTCCCGAGGCCCAAATCATATAACAAAATACATAAACGGATGCGTATCTGGGGAGGGCAGGGAGAAAAAGGAAGGGACAGCATGGGGAGAGGAGGGGAGGGGAAGGGGGATGGGGGGGGGCGGAGGGGCAATTTGCAGCAAAGCGAATCGACACCGCCACCACCATCGCGAAGAGCCATGGACGGTCTTCCTGGTAATGTAATCCTCCTGTTTTGCGGCGTCCCGCCAGATGCTCGAGTAGGGGATCGACTACATAATTGTTGAATCTGTCGTCGACTCTACAGAAAGTGCTGATACGTTTCCGTCGATATAGGAACATTCTACGCATTTCTCGTGGAATCGACGGAAAAACAATCCTGGGGTAATCCATTCTGTTGTCGATCTCTTACTCGAGATGCATCTCCCATCTCCAGCTCCGGGGAGGTGAGGACGACCTCCTCGCTGGAAGTGGTGGCCCTCTGGTGGTGGTGTCGCCCTCCCTCCCCCCGAGAAAGAGGATGGGGGCGCGAGGGGGCTGGGGAGGGGGGAGAGGGGAGCGGGGGGGAGGGGGAATTGGAGGAGGAAGTGGGAGAACCAGAAGAGCAATCAGATCAGTCATATGGATCGGCGGCGAGCGAGGGTGGGGAGTGAGAAAGGGGCGGGCCCCCTCGGAAGGCTCGGAAGCCCCCCGGCCTTCATGGAAATTTTTGTCTGAGCCTTCCCCGGAGACCAGGAACACATCGCAGAAGGACGCAAGCCCTCCGAGAAGTCCCGGCCGCCCTTTGAGGAGGCCTGGCGTTGGGTCGGGCGTGTCCCCTTGCAGGGGGACTTTGGACGAGAACCGAAACATGCACCAGAAATGCTCAAAAACATAGTCGACAAAGCGTCCCCAGGCTCTGCTGTGACTATTTCTGAATCTTCCTCCTGTAGAGGGACGGGCCCGACGTAAGCCCAGAGACGAAAAGAGAGGGGTCTTCCCCGCGAGATGGTATCGGAACCCTACGCTTATGTCGGGCGTGTCCCCCTACAGGGGATTTTCGACGAAAAATTAAAAATACCCCCAAGATGCTCCCAAAAAGCTAACAAATACTTTTAAAAAATAGTCTACGGACTATTTTTGGATTATTTTTGGGGTATTTTTTATTTTTCGTCGAAAACCCCCCTTTAGGGGGACGGGCCCGACTTGACCCTACGCCGCGGCTGCGCCGCCACACTTGGAAACGAGGGCGCCGTACGCGCGACCTCAAGCGGGGAGCACGCGCGCCAGCGTCGGCGCAGCTGGACCCGTTATTTCCGCCGCCCGTGCGGACGCCGCGTAAGGATACTGAGGAAGCAAAGCGCGTAGGAGGCGCCGAGACAGGGGCACCCTCGGGTCGACGGAGCAGGAAGCACGGCAGACGTGCCCCCCAACCGAGGGATAAGCGTGCCCTTGCCTCGGGGAGATGCGAAAAGACGTTGTTTTGTTGCGTGTGTGCCTGTGCTTGTGCGTGTGAGTGTGTGCGTGTGTTGTGTGTGTGTTGTGCGTGTTGTGTGTTGTGTGTATTGCGTGCGTGTGTGTGTTGTATTGCGTGAGTGTGTGTGTGTGTGTGTCGTGTGTCGTGTGTCGTGTGTCGTGTGTCGTGTGTCGTGTGTCGTGTGTCGTGTGTCGTGTGTCGTGCGTGCGTGCATGCGTGCGTGTGTGTGTGTGTGTGTGTGTGTGTGTCCAGTCGCGCGCGCACGTTCTCTTCTCCGACTTTGGACGCCCTGACGCTGCGCGCGGGGCCGCGACGCCAAAAAGCGTGTGTGCGTGTGAGAGAGAGAGGCCATCGCTCGGACGTCCATTTCCCGTGCATTTTGCGGTTTCGTGCGTGGTTTTTTCGCCAAATGATCAAGGATGCTCCTCAAAGGGTCCTCGCCGAGAAAAAAATGAACACGTCCGAGCGATGCCAGGGAGAGAGAGAGAGAGAGAGAGAGATTGCTCTGGTGCTCTGGTGCTCTGCTCCAGCAGCGGGCTCGCGCCGCCTCTGGCGAGCCCCGCGGCCTCTTGGCGGGGCCGCCCCTCTGCGGGGCCCTCGCTGTGCCGCCGCCGCGCGCCTCCTCCTCTTGCGGCAGCTGCCTGGGCAAGGAGCAGGAGGTCACCGCAGAGGAGACTCGGGCGGCGAGGGGGACCCCCACCTCCTCCTAACTATCGTGAAGAAGCAACGACGGGATGCTTTCTTTTCCTCCGCAAAGCGGACAATGAGGAGGAGGAGGAGGAGGAGGAGGAGGAGGAGGAGGAGGAGGAGGAGGAGGCGGAGAAGGAGGAGGAGGAGCGAGGAGCGAGGGAGAGCCGGAGTCGCCACGCGCGGCACTCGCCGCCGCGCCGCGCCCCCTCCTTCGCGGGCAGCAGGGCGGCGGGCAATTCCAGTGTCGCGCCGTCTGAGGAGGTGCCTGGCCAGACTCAGCCACGACGGGATGATCTTAATTGTTTTCGGCCAGCGGAGGCCATCACCAGGCCCCGGGGCAGCCAGAACACTGACCGCAGTGGAGAAGCAGGCCCCCTGGGAGGGGTCCAGACCTCTGGGGGTCGGCGCTGCGACAAGCGTCACGACGTCGGACTCCTGGGCAGAATCAAAGCGGCCCGTCCTCCAGGGCGTGTCGGCCATCTCCGCGGTGTCCATCACGAACCGTATCTTCGAGAGGATGGCCTCTGTCCCCTCCTCCACCACGACCGTGTCCGCGCGGCTGCCGACGCGCACCAGGCTGACGCCGCGCGGGCGCGGGGGGGGGGGGGCCCAGCGCGCACGAGAGCAGCAGCCCGACCGGGTTTGTCGTCCCGTCTCTCGTCAGGGCGGCAGCTGTTGTGGTTGGTGGGCGGAGGCAGCCCGAGTGAGGGACTGCGGTGAGGGCAATGGGAATTGGATAAGGAACCATTGGATAAGGAATCCAGGGTTGAGAGAAGCCAGTGGACTTCCAATCCTGGAGTGGCCATGTGTATCACCGATATAGTCGCCGCCCTCACCACATATGGAATCCTCCATGGTATGAAGCCTCCTGGGCGCATTCCTTAGCCACCGCCCCCACCGTAGAGGCCGCCCGAGGGAAGGAAGAGGAGGGCTGCGAGGGATCCGTTCAAAAACACACGTCACCCAGCTTCGCGCCCAGCGCCGTGTGCAGCGCGAAGCCCTCGCACCAACGAAGGGCAACTATGTCCGGCCGAGCTCGCGAAGCGTGCCTCGCCTGCCGCCTCCGCGGCCTGCGGCGTTGGCCTCAAGCGGACAGCGCCCGCGGCGACATCGACAACGACCTCCTCTTCACAGTAGAGAAGAACTGCTATCGACTGGGAATGTCTGAGGGGTCAGGTCTGCAGGGGGGCCCGCGAGGGCGTCAGGAATGCCGCCTTCGTCGCTCGTCGCCGTGGCTCTCGGTTCGCCAGTTTTCGCGTCAACATGCCTTTGGTGCGCGAAATTTCCGATCTAATTTTGGCATTGGTTTGCGACGAAGGTCAATACAGTCAAAACGTTTAGTAAGGACGGGTGGTAAGGACGCAAGACCCTTGGAGGCCGAAGTTGGATTTTTGGGGCGGGGGGCGCCAGTGAAAACGGCGAAGGACAGGCCGCAGACCCAAGGACTCAAGGGTACCCTAGATGAAGGCACGCGTCCTTACTAGGCGCGTTGACTGTAGCTATCACCATCACCCGTCGTCGCCGAACTTTTTTCCGCACCCGTGCAGCCTGGACCCGTTCCCGGGGGCGCGCTTCTCCTCGTCATCCTGGGTCGCCCGTGCGTGGCCCCAGGGCCCCGCAGCGGGCCCCCCCCGAAACCGAGGCCCTCGGAGAGCCGGCCGCCCCCAGCTGCTCCTCGCGGTGGCGGAGGAGGAGGAGGAGGAGGAGGAGGAGGGGGAGGAGGGGGAGGAGGAGGAGGAGGAGGGGGAGGAGGAGGAGGAGGGGGAGGAGGAAGAGGAGGAGGAGGAGGAGGAGGAGGAGGAGGAGGAGGTGCCCTCGCCCTCGAGATCGCCGCCCCCCCGAGGCCTCATCGCGGGGGGCGCCCCGGCCAGAACTTCGAGGCAGATGCGGTCACGAAGGCGCCCGGGGGGGGCTACCCTGCCGCGCATCGCTGGGCCAACCTGCTGTACCCCCCCCCTAATTACTGCAACACCGCGCTGCCCCACCGTAGCATCGGGCTCCGCGCTGCTGTAACATTGCCTGTGGGGGCACCCAGAAGAAGCCTCTTGAGCTCGTGAGACCGATCGAGCATCAGGTCGGGCACTCCCCCCATACAGGCGGATTCTGGCGAAAAATGAAAAGTACCCCCAAAACGCTCCAGAATCGTAAAACATACTCGAACAATCGTCGCCAAACTATTTTTGGACTACCTCTGAATCTCCCTCGTAGGGGGGACACGCCCGACGAAAATCGAGCACAAGCGCCCAAGGGAGAACCCCCCCAAAAAACAAAAAACAAAACAAACAATCCAGGCCTGGGCGCCCGCCCGCCTCGTCCCGCCGGCCCCGGCCTCCTGCCTGCGTGCTCGC